CTTGCACACCCCGCTTTATGACGACCCTTCCTTGCACACCCCGCTTTATGACGACCCTTCCTTGCACACCCCGCTTTATGAGGACTCTTCCTTGCACACCCCGCTTTATGCCATGGGTGAGGGGCTTAAATAGGGCCTACTGCCAACCTCCCCCCGGCCAGGTAGGTCCATTTAGGTGGGGTGTAAGCTTATGCTATGTGTGCCCTGCCTGCACCGTAGCTGAAGAGACCCAGAAACCCCACCCCCCACGCCGTCTTCCAAAGAAGAATTGATGAATTTGAATTACGGTGTTGGTGAAGAATACTGAATATACCAACGGACTGCCAGAAGAATGAACAAATCTGTCTCGGAAAAAGTACAGCCAGAATGCTCATTAGAAAGGGAGGAGGAAGAGACTTCATCTCACTTACTTTGGAAATGTTATCAGGAGGGATCAGTCCCTGGAGAAGGACATCATGCTTAGTAAAGTACAGCATCAGTGAAAAAGAGGAAGATCCTCAATAAGATGGACTGACACAGTGGCTGCAACGATGGGCTCAAGCATAGCAACGCCTGTGAGGATGGCGCAGGACACAGCAGTGTTTCGTTCTGTTGTACACAGGGTCGAGTGATGAGTTGGAACCGACTCAATGCACCTAACGACAACAGGCCTCAGTGCGGGGGAGGAGGCGGTTTGTTCTGAGACATAAAAATGCCATAAGCGAGAGAATCGGAGAAAACCATGGACAGAGGGCTTGTCTTGAAAGACTTGTTCCTCACACTGTTTTTCACATCCACTCACCCTACAGGTCTTAGTTAAACCTTATTTACCTGCAGAAATACCACTGGGCCTCCTACCTCATGAAATAATGGGTGTTCGGGAGATGTATCACCCAATGCCATCCTCTGCTCCTCCCGCTTAGTCTTCTCTTTTTTTGAATATTTCTTTTCTTTTTGGTGAAAATAGGCAGAACAAAACATGCATTCATTCAACAATTTCTACACATCCAGGTCAGGGACATTGGTTACATTCTTCACTTTGTGTTAATAGTCTTGCTATTTCTACTCAAATTGTTTCACTACCATTAACTTAGACTCACTGCCCCCTTAAACTTCTCATCTATGCTTTAGAGTCACTATTGTCAATTTAAGGAGTCCTGGTGGCACAATGGTTAAGCACTCGGCTACTAACCAAAAGGTCGTTGGTTTGAACCACCAGCTGCTCCAAGGAAGAAAGATGCAGCAGTCTGCTTCCGCAGATTATAGCCT